CAGTATTGCTCATAGAGCATGCAGCAGGCCCCAGCTCATACGTCAAGCGTCTCTCTGACAGACCAGAGGTAAATCGGCTGTTCAAGACTCAGATGGAGCTTGCAAGTTCCTTCTTTTAGCTTCAGGTTTCTTAGCAAACACATCACGCTTTTGGCCGGATCTAGGCTTCCACAATGGCAAATCTTTTCAAGGGTGATGCAGGCAATCAACAGCCCATGGCTTTAGGTGACCTGCCAATCCTTCATAGATGTGTCGTCCTTGCCCGACGACCCACCTGTCCCAATCGACCGTTCCGTTCCGGTCCGCGCCAATCCATGCCGAGAGGCAAGAAAAAGGCTTGGCCGAAAGGAGCCGCGAGTGATCTCCACCTTCGGCAAAAGAGGTACAGAGAAATAACATGCCAGCCGAAGGTGGAGATAGATCACTGAAGTTGGCTTCGTTCCTTTTCTACAAAATGACATCAATTCACGTCAGCCATGGAATGTACAGCAAGACTCCAGATGGAAGCTGGAGCTTTGCTGCAATAGATCCTGCACTGGCCGGACGAACAACGTTTAATGGAAGTAGCATGGAGAGGGTCTTTCGACAAAGCACCGGCGAAAGACAGCGCCATTCGTACCTCAAAGGTTGCACATGTTCAAGAAAGAAACACACAAATAGCTGCAAGGGGCAACCTTGCTTCATGTAGCAACTGCAGATATCCAGACTAAACCAGCAGAGCGCTGGACGTACTTGGTCTAATTGAGACTTAGTTGCAGAAAGATATCGGGCCCATCCCCAAACACGAGATCTACTTCGGATAGGCTGCACAGCAGGTGGGAACAGCGGAGTTTGCTACCAGCATTGTCATGGGAGCATGTGTCAACCAGAGAGAAGTTTCTTTTTATGTCTTATGCATTGCTTTCAAAGCAGCTGAGATAGCTAGCTAGCAGCTAGACTTATATAGCTCCAGAAAGAGAGTGAGTGCTTCGTCTGAGAAGAAGTGCTCTGACTTTGAACAGACGAACGTGCTTGGTCTTCGCTCTGGTGTCAGACATTCGCCGTTCCGGCGTTCCCACTCGAGCGTGTCCTTCACCCGTTTGCAGAGCCGCTTATTGGCGTGTGAGCTCTGTGTGACCTGTGACGCGCCCTTGTCGGGTTCGGGTGGTCCTCTTGGCGGCTGCGCTGTACTTACTCCATCCGAAGAGTTGTACGGAGTCGCGCGTTCAAAAGGCTTGTAATCTTGGGTCAGTAGGTGAGATGGTTATCCAAGGTAGCACTACTTCAGAAGCTGCACCGGGACTGGTGTTTTCAAGAGGCAGTGACCTATGATGGAATCGGACCATTTCAACACCGACACGCTCGCTCGCGACTCGCTTGACGTCCCGAACGACACCATCGAACGACCTGGGGCCGTGACCACTTGGAGGTAATTTTTTAGACCTGACATGGACCTGGAAGGTGAGTGGAACCTTGTTCCAAGGATCAGAACTGCTTGGGCCGTGGGCCGTTTCAAACCTGTGACCGGAAAGCGTAAGAAGAGTCCGAAGGAAGCGATGGCTTGGATCGTACGGATCCCGGCGTGGCGTAGCGATAGCTGAATTCGCCTGTCCTGCGAGCACTCGAAGCTGCGAAAGATCGAGCAGTTTACCTTGCTTGGTCGCGGCTTTCTTGAGCATCTCTGTGTCCATGAATATTCCAGCTTGTTTGCTGTTCTATGTGGGTCGGTGTAATCGATCTCAAACTGGTCTGACAGGCAAAGGTTGGGGCATTTCGGCTGCATGTGAGAGTTGGCCGCTTTGGCGGTGAGAATGTTCATGCCACAGTTGATTCTCTCATCAGCGCAAGTGGAAAAAGCAGCTTGCGACCTTTCAGCTTTTGGTCTGAGAGAATCACTGTCGTTGCCATTTTTCACTTGCTCAACACCAGAACATGATCGAATTTTCATGTACCTCATAGCAAGAGCTCAATCAGGACATATTTTACACCACAACTATTTTGCATTGTGGATTTGCAGCCTGGGCTCAGCAAGATGGAAGATTATCTGTTTCATTTACATAGTGGTCGTGTCGCATGTTCACTCCGACTGCAGTTTCCAAGCTGGCCATTCCGGAGCAAGGTGCAGGCCGTGCTGGCCTGGAGTTAGCTGCTGCTGGTTTTCAGAGTCTTTCTCACTTTCTCACCAATGGGTTTGACCTGCTTTGGTTAGATGCATCCGTTTAGCAGGGTGAAGGTGAATGTCCAAGAAACTTCACGCTGTTGCAGCACTCAGTTTGAAGATGTTTAGAGAATGAGCGCGAGCAGGCGAACAAACATCAGAAGCCTCGTGCTGATTGTTTCGGTGCCAGGTGCGTGCCCCAACCATGCGCTGGCGAGGACCAGGCAGGGCCAGCCGTGCTAGCTCTGGGCCTGTGGGGTTCGCCAGGTTTTTGCTGTTGGCCAGGTCTTGCGCGCCTTCCGCTTCGCCCTGGGGCAGCTGTGGCTGGTGTGGTTCTCACATCCAAACTCGACAACTTGCGGATGAAATGGCTTTGTCGCCCTTAGAAGTGTTGGACGAAGTCAGACTCTGCAGAGTGTGCGACAGCTGTTTCCAAACGAACTCAGGCTGTCATTGGGCTTCGTGGTATCCAGTTCAGCCGTCGCTTTCAGACTTCGAGCCCGAAAAGTCTCATTGAGAGTAGCGGAGCCATCGCTTTCATCGCTTTCTGCAGCAGAAGAGTACAAGAAGCTTGGATATTCGGTGTTGCAAGCTGCCCTTCCCGGTGAGTTAGCAGCTGAGATGTTGGAAAGCTTTGAATCGGATCTAGCTAGCTGGGCTGGTGACTGTGACTTGGACTTGGAGACCTATTTGAAAGTGGTGAACAAGTGGAGCCATTGGAACCCTCGAGTGGCCAGCATGTGCGAAGAAATCGCACCTCTCTTACGGCCTCTTGTGGCGGAAGTGCTGGGAAGCGCGGCTTGGCCAGTGGGAGCCACGATCTTCCGAAAGTCTCCGCTGGCCTCTCGGGGGACTCATGCGCATCAAGACTTATCTTATGCATGGCGCCCAGGCTCACAGCTCTTCAGCTGCACCACCTGGGTAGCTCTCACTCCCGCCAAAGCTTCGCCCCTGGAGATCTTGCCGGCTTCACATCAAGATGGCATTGCCCCAGCCGTGGATTTCCTCGATCCAAGTTTTCAAGACCGAGCGGATAGCGTTACTTGCAAGGAGGATGCCATCACCGTGGACGTTGATGCGGGCGATGCCATCCTCTTCGATTCCCGTCTCTGGCACAGTGCGAAGCCCGCAGCACATGGGTCTCTACGGGTGGCTCTGGCGATCACTTGGGCCACTCCAGCTGGACCAGATGGCGTCAAGGCTGGTGAGTATCCCCGCTGGCCGATGAGTGCAATGCCTCCTCCACCAGTGGCGCCAAAGGATGGTTTTGGTATGGATACTGTTGGACAGCAGTTAAAGATGGCGTTGCAGTCTTTGTTGGGAAATGGACAGCACAATGCTGCCAAGGCTTCGGCCAAAGAGCTGATTGAAAGCATCTTGGCATCAGGAAGCTTTCATCAGCTTCCAGATCCTTCTGCTGCTGAAGAACTCCTACGGAAGTTCTTGGACATGCGCAAGGCGGTTCTTAAACATGGAGCAGCTGGGCAGAACGGCGGTCTGTTCGAAGCCCTCTATCAGAAGGTCATCCTGCCTGTCAAGCAGTGTAAGTCTGAGGTCTTGAGCGCTGCGTCCAAGGAGCTCGAAGAGTGTGGAAGCCATGCGAATGGGGTGGAGCAATTGAAGGCTTGGATTGGAAAGTGGGCTGTACGGACACGTGGTGTTTTTTGGAGTGGTGCTGTTTGGATCTCAGGCATCCAATGAGGCTTCT